TGTTGGAAAGTCAATATTCACGAAAGGCAATATAGAAAGAAATTCAAGTTCACACATTTTAGCTACGGTCTCGGAAATAACTTCCAGAAGCAGCAGGGGCAGGAATCGTTAATGGGGCTTGTCTCTGGGGCGCAGGGGTGGGGCAGGGTGGGACGAGGTGGGAAGGGGTGAGGCACTGTTGTTTACCATGGAAATCTCTGTTCTGCTGGATTTGCTGTCAAGTGAATGCAGCACTTCGGTTTGTAGAAGGAAAAAAAATTGCCACACACACACACAAAAAGCAGGAAGCCTTGCTGAGCAGGGGGGCGGTGGGGAGAGCCATGTGGTCTCCCGCAGGCCTGGGATCACACCTGCTAATGGAAAAAAACAGGGATTGGACCCTTGGAGACAGCACGTCACCCTCTGAGCCTTCAGCTTTGGCTCGAAAGATTAATTCCGTACGTTTAACCTTTTCGCTCTTGGATTGTGGCCAATACGAAAATTAACTTGCATTTTTTTGGACACCGACTGGAAGCGACTTGGGAAAAGAGGGAATCGTAGGAAAAATACTGAAAGGAAATCTGTCACGGATTTGTTTTCTGGCTTTTTATGCTTTTCTTCTCAAATGTTCTACCCTTATAATGAGAGCAAATAAGGCTTTTGGGGTTTGGTTGTTGGTTGTTTTTTTTTTTTAGAGGCCCAGTTTGATTGAGATCGCTTATGTGCAGAGAAGGAACTTCCCACGGTCTGTAGGGCTGGGGGCTGGGAACGTTCTGCTGGCCTCGTATTTTCCGTGCCAGCAAAAGTTTGTTGAATGTGTTAAAAAAAGACACCACAGGCTCCAAATGGTATCACTCAGAGTCCCCAAAGCAGTGCTCTGCGCAACATCTCTTTAGTTTCAACCTCCCCCAGAATGAAGTCCTAACGTCACCCAGGGATTTGGGGTCTGGCCAGACAAGCCGCCACCCCCGCTCCTCATCCCCATCCTTCGAAGAAGGCTGAGGCCCTGTGTGCAATGAGACACCTTGCTCTCTGCTCGTCCCCTCCCCCCCCCCAAGCAGGCTTGCCTGTAACAATCCTTCCTTGTGCTGGTAACTCCCACCCTCCTCCTATAAAAAGCCTTCTGGTTTGTACTACCTTTCAAGGGTCTCTCTCCTTGCTCGATTAGGTCCTGCTGCCCCATTCGTGAATCGTTTCTCCTTAATGAAAACAACGAGAGCAGCAACTCACTGCAACTCTTGATCTCTGGGTCCTGAGTTCAAGCCCCACGTGAGGCTTAAAGATTACTTAAAAAGAAAAAAAATGTCGGGGCACCTGGGTGGCTCAGTTGGTCAAGCATCAGACTTCCGCTCAGGTCATGATCATTGTTCATGAGTTCCAGCCCCGTACCAGGCTCTGGGAGGACATTACAGACCCTGCTTCGGATTCTCTCTCTCTCTCTCTCCTTCCCCTCTCTACCCCTCCCCCACTTATACTCTCCCGCACACTCTCTCTCAAAATAAATATTTTTAAAAGAAGAAATTAAAAGTAATAATGCCAATGAGATCTTCAAATTTACTTGGTTGAATTTGGTTTTTTAACAAGAGTTTACATAGACATTCCATAATTGATCACTGAATTCACCCTAGAGTGTTTTACATTGGGAATGCTTTATAATGTTTTGTTTTTTGTTTTTTTTTTTCTAGGAGAGAGAGAGAGAGACAGCGTGAGCAGGGGAGAGTCAGAGAGAGAGGGAGTGACAGACTGAAACAGGCTCCAGGCTCTGAGCTGGCAGTCAGCACAGAGCCCGACGCGGGGCTCGAACCCACGAACCGCGAGATCATGACCCAAGCGAAAGTCGGACGCTTAACCGACTAAGCCACCCAGGCGCCCCTACATTGGGAATGCTTTAAAAGAAAAAAAAATTTTAATTTATTTATTCAGAGAGAGCACGCATGCACGCGTGCACACAAGTGGGGGGAAAGCAGAGAGAGAGAGAGAGAAAGAGGGAGGGAGGGAGGGAGACACAGACTCTGAAACAGGCTCCAGGCTCTGAGCTGTCAGCACAGAGACCAACGCTGGGCTCGAACCCATGAACTGTGAGATCACGACAGGAGCCAAACTCAGACACTTAACCCACTGGGTCACCCAGGCGCCCCTAAAACTTTTTTTGTTTTTTATTTATTTTTAGTAACCTCTACACTCAACGTGGGGCTCGAACTGACAACCCCAAGATCAAGAGCTCCATGTTCCACCAACTTGAGCCGACCAGGTGCCCCTGTGAGGCTGAGAGTTTTGAATGCTGGACACTTGTTTTCTAGAATGTGTAAAGGACACACTCACTTCTGCGCGTGTCTCCTCTGATCTTGGCGCTACACAGCTTTACTTCCCCCAGCAGATGGTTTCCACCCAGCAACCAATCCTGCGACACCCATGTGATGGGGTTTCGGAGACGGGGGTTCGGAGCTGAGCTGACAGCCAAGAGAGATTCTCGAGAGGTCTTTGGGGCAAAACCAGGTGATTATATGCAAGCTCGGGGGACCCCCGGGCAGAAAGAGCCGCCCTGGGCTGGTGGAGACTCACTGCTTACATACTAAGGAGCTGGGGGAGGTAAAGCTAAAAGAGAGGTTTCCAGAAGGACTCTGAGGTGCCCAAGGGGACTCCTAATCACCCGAGGCCTTCCTCTTGCCAAGCGAAGGCTGTTTGCCCTCTAGTGAGGCATCACCCTGAGGCCAGGGGGGCTTCCCGGAGGAACGTTCTCCTCTGGATTTGCCTCAAGGGTCTGTCAACGGGCTGCGGGCTATAAGGACATTTAAGGTTACCTGTCTTGTCCTTCGTGCCTCCTTTCCGCACATCAGGAAGGGGGAGGCTGACGTTGGGCTCCAGGAAACGGAGTCTACAGGGCGCTGGTCATGAGGCTACGGACAAGGTTGCCTTTTGCTTGTATTTCCGAAAAGATATCTGCAAAGTGGTGGAGACTAGGGACCGCACGACTGTGATCTCTATCAGTTAACCGTTTGTTTTTCTTGTTCTTGGGCAGCGGGCGTGTGGAGGGATCTCGCACACATCCCTTCTGGGTGGGGGGAGGTCGGCGGGGTGTGGGGGGATCGCGCTGGCTTGCGCTCGGCCCTCAGCTGGCCTTCTGCTCCCTTATCCTATGACTGAACTCAGTTCTGAACTCGCATGTCTCTGCCTGGGGTGGGATCCTGCAGGTGAAGGAAGGGCTTGGTCTCACAAGGCTGTCCCCGCCCCCACGCCCCGCAGGCACCAGTCAGCAAGTCCAAGTTGCTGCCTGGGCTTCTGATGACAGGCTCTCAATCACAGGTTCCCCAGACTCCCTCCTCGGGTGTGATTAACTCCTAGCGCAGCTCATGCAACTCAAGAACGAGGTTCACTTACCAAGGTTGTATTACCCAAGTCTCCTCTGGGACAGCCAGATGGAGGGGGTGCTGGGGGGACAAGGGGTGTGGCCAGGGGGCGCCCCCCTCCCCACGCCTCCACGTGTTCAACCCAGAAGCTCTGGGGCTTCTTGGGGTTTGATGGGGGCTTCAGCACTCGAGGCTCAGTTGATTAAATCCTCAGTCCTTGGTGACGGGACTCAATCTGCGGTCCCTCTCCCCTCCCCCCTAGGTGAGGCTGGAAGTTCCACCCCCGTCATCACGTGCTGGATTCCCCTGGCAACCAGCCCACCTTTAAGAGCTTCTATTAACCTAATTCATGAACAGAAAGTCGGGTGCGGTTGACGGGCGGGGGTGGGGGTTGGGGGGGCGTTAGGACACAGATGCTCCTTTCACCGTTTTGGTTCCAGAGCGATTTCTGGAACCGGATGACGAACCCGAACAGCACAGCAGATGTTCCCATTGTCCTTAGGGCTCGGGTTTGGGCCGCTCTGTGCCAGAAATCAGGACAAAAATGAAATCGATAACTTATTATAAATCACAAGAGCACAAAACGTCCCCTCATTTTCTCTACGGTTATATTCAGGTTGCACATTTTAGTTTTCAATATTTATTTATTTTGGGGGGCACCTGGGTGGCTCAGTTAAGTGCCTGACTTTGAGTCAGGTTGTGGTCTCACAGTTCATGAGTTCGAACCCCGCGTCGGGCTCTGTGCTGACAGCGTGCAGTCTGGAGCTGCTTCGGATTCTGTGTCTCCCTCTCTCTCTGCCCCTCCCCACTCCTGCTCAGTCTCTCTCTCTCTCTCTCTTAAAAATAAACAGTAAAAGAAAAAAAATTGTTGTCCAGGCACGGGACATCAATTCATTCCAGTCCCGGCAATGCTAACTTTGATGCCTTTGCTTGAGGTCACATGTACCAGGCTTCTGTACCCTAAAGTTACCTTTTTCATCTTTGTAATGAATAAATCATTGTGGGAAGGCATTTGGGACTGTTCTCCAGAATCCGGTTCTCCACCAAACTTCTTCCTAAAGATTTTAGCCTCTGTGACTGATTCCTACCTGAATCAGCTATGATTCTGTTGGTTTTAGATCAGTTTTCTTACCTCTCCCTCTACGTGTATTAAATACATTTGACAGTAATTTCCCTTCTTCCCCATTTGTTATTTGTTTTTATTTTTAGCACAACCATGCACTCAAATACTCACGTATTTTTTTAATTTGCATTTTATTACTGTTAAATTTTTTAATTGTTTATTTATTGTTGAGAGAATGCGAGCAGAGCAGAGGCAGCGAGGGAGACACAGAATGCGAAGCAGGCTCCAGGTCAGAGCTGTCAGCACAGAGCCCGATGTGGGCCTCGAACCCACGAACGGTGAGATCATGACCTGAGCCGAAGTTGGACGCCCAACCGACTGAGCCACCCAGGCGCCCCTGTATTTTATTATTTTTTAAATTTTATTGCTTTATTTTGAGAGAGAGAGAGAGAGAGAGCACACAAGCAGGGTGGAGGGGAGAGAGGGAGAGAGAGAGAGAAGCCCAAGCAGGCTCTGCTCCACCAGTGCAGAGCCCTATTCCGAGCTAGAACTCACGAACCGGGATATCATGACCTGAGGGGAAATCAAGAGTCAGAAGTTCAAACGACGAGTTGCCCGGGCACCCCTGTATTTTTTAATGTCTTGTAATCCATTGAGTCATCACCCCTTTTAATATTTATACTGTTCCCAACGTATCCGGTGGGAGGTTTCTCCATCAGGTTCCTACGTCTTCTACGGTTTCTGAGTCTTCCTTCCCCACTTCCTGCCTTCCTCCTCCTCCTCCTCTGTCTCTTCTCTCTTCCGTCACAAGACGCTGTTGCAGGCACACCTCCTACTTCCTCCGCGCCAGCTCTGGGACCAGCAGCCATGTCTTCGAGGAACTCTGCTTCCTGTCACGGGCAAGGTGACTGAGAAGCCAAGGTCGCAGGAGAACTCAGCTCTCCGGGAAGTGTCACTGCGTGGAGGCTCCTTTGTCAGACAGAGGAACGATATGTAAATATCATGTAATAAATGGGTAACGTCACCTGTAATTGTGGCCCGCCCCGTCTAGGTTCTTACTCATCTCCCCGTGCCCCCCGCCCCGTGTTCGCACCCCCTCCCCTGCATTCCTGTTCACGACACGGTGCTTCGACCACTGTGTTCACCACACTTTGTATTTACTGCCCGTCTCCCTCACTGGAAGGTCAAGTTCCCTGGCGCGGAGGCTGCATCTGCCTTGCGCCCCCTCGGGTCTCTAGTGCCTTGCTTGGTACGGGCCGCGCTATAGGCACTTGGTGTATTTGTTGAGCGAACAGCTGCCTCTCCTTGGTGGGTCCCGAGGAATGCCCCATGGGACCTTGCAGGGTCCCCTGCTCTCCCCGGTCAGGGCGTCCCTGTGCATTCAGCCGCCCGCGCTCAGCCCGACCCTCACCACCCCCATCGTGTCACTCGACTGCCAGCTTCCTGGGTGCAGGAGCTGTGACTTATTTACGCCACAAGCAGGAAGTGAAGGCACCAGAATCCAGGCCTCCTCTCTCCTCGAAGCTTCAATTACTTTCCAGAGGAAGGGACAGAGGACCCAGCGTTGAGGACCAGGCAGGATCTGGTGAATGCGGAAGTGGGGTCAGCATTTCAAGGTTACGGGCGTCATCACCTGTGTGATTTCCAGCGGCTTCTTTGGCTTTGAACCTTCTCTGCTTCAGACATTCCTGGGCGCACACACCGTTGTCCCAGCTCTCCGCCCATCATACACAGACCACAAAGTAGGACTCGGCCCAGACAAGAACTGAGTGTCAAGAGGGGGCCAGACTTCCGGGTGGTGACAGTCTACTGCCTGGCTCTCTGGCCTGAAGCTCAGACTTGTCCGTGTTGGCCCCCGGCCCTTGGCACCTGCCACAACCTTGGGCCCGAGCTGCAGCTTCATGCGGTCCGAGCTTGGCTCTGATGGGCCAGACCATCAGGCCCCCCTGTACGCAGGCGAGAATGGGGTAAAAGCAAACACAAATCTTGAGACCTCGATGGCAGCTTCTCGGACCATTTGGGGAAGTCAAATGTAGACGCACAAATTAGTTAAAAAAAAAAAAAAAAAGCACGTGTGGCCAACGGCCATTAACCCCACAGCCGGAGAGGAGCCGGGAATCGAAGAACCTGGATTCCAGTCTCCACTGGCCTCTGGACTTTGGCAGGGCCACCCAGCTCTTTGGGTCTCAGATGGGAAAACGAGCTGGAAAGAAACCCAGCCAGGCCGGACTCTGCAGGGGTGGAGAGGAGGGGGCTCTGACGCGGTGTGCTTCTTCCTTGTACGACTGTGGTGGAGAAGCCGGATGCAACCTGACGGACTCGGGCACCACTGCAGAAATGAGCTCTCACACATAAAGTGGAAAAACAAAAACGCATAACACGCACGCGTCTTGTGCTCTTGGGCGCACAGCCTGTGTGTCTGGATGGAGACACAAGAAACTGGTACCGACAGCTTCTTCTGCAGGAAAGGAATTGGGGGCAAGGGGCCTGGGCGGGGGGCGCGCCTGGGTGGCTCAGTTGGTTGAGTGACTCCTGATTTCGGTTTAGGTCATGGTCCCAGGGTTGTGGGATCGAGCCCCATGTCAGGCTCTAAATAAATAAACATTTAGGAGGGGTGCCTGGGTGGCTCAGTCGGTTAAGCGTCCGACTTCGGCTCAGGTCATGATCTCATGGTTTGTGGGTTTGAGCCCCGCGTCGGGGTCGTGCTGACAGCTCAGAGCCTGGAGCCTGTTTCCGATTCTGTGTCTCTCTCTCTCTCTGACCCTCCCCTGCTCACACTGTCTCTCTCTCTCTCAAAAATAAATAAAACGTTAAAAAAATCTTTAAAAAATTTAAAAAAACATTTAGGAAAAAAATAAAAAGAGGGCTGCCTGGGGGCCTCAGTCAGTTAAGCATCCAACTTCGGCTCAGGTCATGATCTCACGGTTTGCGAGTTCGAGCCCCACGTCGGACTCTGTGCCAACAGCTCAGAGCCTGGAGCTGCTTCCGATTCTGTGTATGTGTGTGTGTCTCTCTCTGCCCCTCCCCCACTAGCGTCTTCTCTCTCTCAAAATAAATAAATAAAATTAAGAAAGAAAAAACGAAAAGGAATTGGGTATCTGAGGGTCTGTGGTGAGAGAATGTTCGCCATACGTTCTCATTCCCATATGTGTGTCTCATCTGGTTGAAATAAATCAAAAAGAAACTATTTTGCAAGGAAGAAAGGAATTATCAACATTTTTAAAGTGTGTATTTTCAAAATTGACTTCAATCTAAATCAGATTCCAATTTGTAGAACTATATACACATACACATATTTTTTAAGCTTATCTATTTTGAGAGAGAGAGAGAGGAGCAGAGCATGAAGGGGAGGGACAGAGAGGGAGGGAGAGAGAGAGAATCCCTAGCAGGCTCCACGCTGTCAGCACAGAGCCCGACGTGGGGCTCAAACTCACGAACTGTGAGATCATAGCCTGAGCCATGATCAAGAGTCTGATGCTTAACCAACTGAGCCACCCAGGCACCCCACGCATATAATATTTAACACAGAGAGAGACAAATGTACGTATAAATGGAGAAAGAGAGTTTTGTAGTTATCAATGTGTATAAGCATATGTATGCACATACCTATATATAAATATAAATGTTTCACTGTAGATATATAAGCGGTCTAGTCAGGTCTGAGTGAGCTGAAAGGTAAATTACGAGCAGCCTCAAGGGCAGAGAATATACCTTCGGGGTCACTGCTGGTCCCCACTGCCCAACGTGGTTCCTGAGCTCAGGAGGAGCCCACAGGCCGCGAACCAGCCCGCAGTGTCTAGGCCGGATTTTTTTTTTTTTCGCTTTTCCTTTGTTTTATTTTACTTTATTTATTTATCTATTTATTTTTTTGAAGTAAGCTCCACACCCAGCGTGGGGCTCAAACTCACAACCCTGAGATCAAGAGCCATGCGCTGTCCCGACCCAGCCAGCCGCGCACGCATTGGCTGGATATTTTTTGACTTTTCGTGTCTTAATTCCTGTTCCACAGTTTTACATGTTAGTTTAGCTAAAGCACAGCTTTCCTATTTAATCTTCCTTGATTCTTCCAAACAGAGTTGGGGGCCGAGGGCTGTTATCTGCATGTTACAGAAGGAAAGATAAAAGAGGACTGAGGAGCTGAAGGCCTTCCCCAAATCGGCCCGGATGTGTGCGGAGGGGATGGACGGCAGGCAGTCGTAACAGCGACAGCTGACATTTACTGGGCCTCTGCCGAGCGTGGGGCACTGTATGGATACAGTATTGTTTCATTAAAAAAAATTTTTTTTTTAAATGTTTTATTTATTTCTAGGAGAGAGAGAGACAGTGCGAGCAGGGGAGGGTCAGAGAGAGAGGGAGATACAGAATCTGAAACAGGCTCCAGGCTCTGAGCTGGCAGCCAGCACAGAGCCCGACGCGGGGCTTGAGCCCACGGACCGCGAGATCATGACCTAAGTGAAAGTCGGACGCTTAACCGACTAAGCCACCCAGGCGCCCCAAAAAAATTTTTTTAATGTTTATTTATTTTTGAAAGAGAGAGACAGAGGGAGACACTGAGCCATCAGCACAGAGATGGAGGCGGGGCTTGAACCCCTGAACCGCGAGATCATGACCTAGGCCGGTCAGACGCTCAGTCGACTGAGCCACCCAGACACCCCCGTATTATTTAATGTAAACCTTAGAGCAAACTTCTTTGGTGACACAGTGATGCCCATTTTACAGATGGAAGAGTAGATTCAGAGAGGTAAGCAGATGTGTACGAGGCCAATGAGTCAAGCCCTAGAAATGGGTCTCTGATTTTTTTTTTTTAAGTTTATTTTGAGAGAGAGCGAGCGCGTGCCAGTGGGAGAATCCCATGCAGGCTCCACGCTGTCAGTGCTGAGCTCTATTCAGAGCTCGAACCCGTGAACCATGAGATCATGATCTGAGCCAAGATCTGATGCTTAACAACTGAGCCACCCAGGCGTCCCGAGGGTCTCTGGTCTCTGTCTGTTGCTTTTTCTGCTGCTTGAGGCTCCTCCTTGAAGCCCGAGGGCAAATTTGAGGGTGCTTGTGAATCACCTAGAGGGCTTGTGAAAACACCAGCTGCGGGCCCTCTCCCCAGGGTTTCTGACTCTGCATGGCTGGGAAGGAGAATTCGCATTCCAGGAGATGCCACCGGTGGGGCATTCTGCCTCTGTCCCCACCGCTTCTGGGTCCTGCTCAGGCCCCACTAGAGGGACCCCCTGGACAGAGTCTAGGCCTGAAACCGCTGCATGGCCCTCAGACCACCTCAAGTTCAAGTTCTTTTTTTTTTTTTTTTCAAGTTCAAGTTCTGGGAGGTGTGGGCTGGGGTTGGTGAGAAGGATTGGACTTCATTTATGAATCCTTTCTTCAGCTTCACCCAGAAAAGGAAAGGGAGATTCCCCTGCTGCTGAAAGAGGGTGAGCAAGCACTTCTTTTTTTTTTTTTTTTCAAGTTCAAGTTCTCCCCCCCCCACCCCCCCCCAAGTTCAAGTTCTTGTCTGTACTGGATCCTTGGAGAGTTTTTACAATTCAAAAGCAGCCCCGGGAATCTGCAGGAGGAAAGGAGTTTATAGGAAGGCCAGAGGTAGCTTCTGGAATCACCAGAACGGCCGGATAAGAAAACTGCAGCATGGACAGGGGCCGAAGCTCACTGCCAATCTGCCCTGATGAGGACACGCCTGCCACCGGCTCCGTGAGACAGACACGCAGCCAGGAAGGCCAGCACCACTGGCCCCAGACTCTGGAGGGCGCCCCTGGCCCCAAGACGGGGATGCTCTCTCCTGATGCTCTGTTGCTTGGCCTCGCTAGTCCCCAGACTAAAGCCTGTGGGGACAGTGGTCCACACGGCCCGGCCTGGGTCGTGTGCACCGCTGGTTGGCTGCAAGGGACGCTGGGAAAGCAAATCTCTGGCTTTGACGCCTCCACCAAGGGTGAGAAGCTCTACCTCCTACCAACATACACTCAACAGTAAATGCCCCAGACGTGGTGATGAGATCTTGGGCCGCCAAAGGGCACCAAATGTCCGCACCGACGGGAGCTTTGTCCCTGGGCCTCTGGTGGGTGCTCTCGCTTCTATTCTGATGTCCTTACGCCGTGCTCGGGCCGGCCTGCAGACAAGCAGTGAGCTGCTGCTCCCTGCTCAGTTGTTTGCTGAGCCCTCACTCGCATGCCAGGAGCTGTAAGGGGCAATGTTCACATACGACTTTCACACACAGGAAATTGTAGCTGGTCACGAGGAATATACTCGATAATCTCGCCTGGCCGGGCTTTATTCTGAGGAGAGCATTCAGGTTTCTCTCTTAAACTGCCAAAGAAGGGCAGGCCCCGTTTTGCAGGAAGCTGAAAAAATGCCTGTGTTAAAACAGCCATCCAGGGGCGCCTGGGTGGCTCAGTCCGACTTTGGCTCGGGTCGTGATCTCACAGTCTGTGAGTTTGAGCCCCGTGTCGGGCTCTGTGCTGACGGCTGGGAGCCTAGAGCTGCTTCAGATTCTGTGTCTCCTTCTCTCTCTGCCCCTCCCCTGCTCACACACTGCTTTTCTCTCTCTCAAATACAAACGTTAAAAAAGAAAAGAAAAAGAAACGAGCTTGGTTCTCAGTGCGGAAAAGGTTTCTAAGGAGCAGAGGTTTCCATGCTGGCCTCTGTATCTCCAGCCCCTCCCCCATTCACATCCATCCGGCACCCTGCTGTCACAGAATCTTCCAGAAACACAGCATTTTAGAAAAATCTGTTTGTTTGTTTGTTTATATTTGAGAGAAAGAGCATGAGTTGAGGAGGGGCAGAGAAAGAGGGAGACACAGAATCCGAAGCAGGCTCCAGGCTATCAGCACAGAGCCTGACACGGGGCTCGAACTCACGAACCATGAGCCGAAGTCAGTCACTCAACCAACTGAGCCACCCAGGTGCCCAGAGAAGCAGCCTTTTATTCTGTCACCGGGTGGCTCTGACTCCTCGCTGGCTCCCCTCATCCTTCCGGTCAGACTCACGTGCCCAGGGCAGGCGGGGACCACCCAGGCCTCTTCACCCTGCTCTGGACGGCTTGGCCACCTATTGATGTCACATGGCCTTGCCCATTCTCATCCCTGTGGCTGTGCTGTTCCCTCCGGCCAGAAGCCCTTCCCAAACTCCTTTTCTTTCCAAACCTTTCCTGGTCTTCAAGGCTTAGCTCAGATCTCACCTCTTTCTGACCACAGACTTTACCCCCACACTGTGGTTGTCTGTCCCATTGACTTGACTCACGCATCCATCCATCCATCCATCCATCCATCCATCCATCCATCCACTCAACAAAAACGTCTGGAGGCCCAGGAGGTAGCAGGTGCCGTACTGGGTGTCGGTCATACAAGGACAACAAGAGACTCCTGTCTTTAAGGCCGTTAGTGCCCAGCAATGAAGCCCTCAGTACACTTGTGCAAAGGGACGGATGTACCGCGGGGGCCATGAGAAAATGTCAGAGGGCAGTGGCAACGTAGCCTCCCGGGAAGGAAATTCGTCACGCAGCAAAACTGGAGTTGTGATTAGCCAGGGAGAGAGAAGCATACAAACGTTCCCGGCTACAACTCTGGGAAGAAAACACCAGAGAAAAGCTTGGCAATGATCTCCAGTCATTAGGAAAATGCACATCAAAACCAGAGTGAGATCCCGCCTCACGCCCATTGGGAAACCTACAAATGGCCTGTGAGATAAAAGTGTTGGCAGGGATCCCGGGAAGGTGGGACCTTCGTGCCCTGCTGGGGGGGAGGGGACAGAAAAGGGTGCAGCTGTTACAGAAAACAGCCCTGCAGGGGCGCATGGGTGGCCCAGTCGGTTAAGCATCTGACTTCGGCTCAGGTCATGATCCTGTGGTCTGTGGTTCGTGGGTTCAAGCCCTGTGTCGGGCTCTGTGCTGACAGCCCACAGCTTAGAGCCTGGAGCCTGTTTTGGAGTCTGTGTCTCCCTCCCCGCTCCTACTCTGTCTCTCTCTCAAAAACAAACAAACAAACAAAAATTAACACATTTCTAAAATGGTTGAGATGAAAAAAATGGGTACGATGATGAATTTTATGTTATGCATACTTTACCAAAATTTAAAATATTTTTTGAGTTTATTTATTTATTTTGAGAGAGAGAGACAGACAGACAGACAGAATCCCAAGCAGGCTGCACACTCATCGTGGAGCCCAGCACAGGGCTCGAACTCACAGACTGAGATCATGACCTGAGCCGAAATCCCGTTAGGGCGCTCAACCCACCGGTCCACCCATGTGCCCCCCCGCCCAATTTAATAATTTTTAAAAACCAATAAGAAATAGGTTAACCTAAATAATATATTTGGGGAGTGGGGTGGGGAACTGCACAGCAGAAGGCAGATGAGGGCCCCCCTGGGGTCACGAGGAGGGAACAGCCCACGCTCCAGAGTTTGGAGTTGATCCTGAGGACAGAGGGAAGCCATTAAAGGGGCTGGAAGCCAGGGAGGGAGGAGACTTGACCTAGATCCCGGGGAGCAGCCGGGTTAGAGGCCCCACAGCTGGCTGGGCGGGGGTTGCTAGCAACTGAGGCATGGGGGGGGGGGACAGAGGGTGTGGACAGCCCCGAGGCACACAGGCCGTGGACGCGGTCCCAGAGGCACCCGGGTGGCTGTGGGTGGCGCAGGGGGGGGGGGGGGGGGGGGGGGGGGGGGGGGGGGGGGGGGGGGGGGGGGGGGGGGGGGGGGGGGGGGGGGGTGGAAGGCACAGGAGACCTAAGCGCTCTCCACGCGCGCGCGCGCGACATCAGAGCGGCACCCTGGGCGCCCCGGGCTGGAGCCCAGAGGGTATAAGCGATATTTTAAAGACTTGACACTGAAAGGTCCAGGGAGAAGATCAGGGATCAGGGGGCGGGGAGAGTCAGGCTGAACCCCACCCCACCCCCAAGAGCTCCGAAAGCCTGGAAGGGGAGCACAAGCGCGCGTGCACACACACACACACACACACACACACACACACACACACCCCGCAGAGGGAGGCAGGGAGTGGGAGGGGTCAGCCTTGCAGATGAGCAGGCCCTTAGGACAGTGGGGGGTGGGAGCAGCGGACTCCGAGGGGGAGAAGGTGCCCCTGGTTGGTGAAGGCACAGATTGGGGGGCCGGTGCGGGCTGTTACCTAGTAGATCTGATTGGTTTGTTGTGTTTTTTGTGTGTTTTGGTGGAGGTTTGTGTTTTGTTTTGTTTTGTTTGGGGTTAAATATTTAACATTCTCCCTTCTGTTTTACTTGCGAAGGAATCCGTGCTCCTGGCAGGAAGAATTCGCGCCTTGAGGACCTCGGGGTGGCGGAGCCCTGGGGCCTTTCGTCACACAGGAATTCAGGCCTGCAGAAGGTTGGCACTGAGGGGGGACCCCGTCCCCAGTTTCGTTTCCGGGTTGAAGCCCAGTTTTGTGTATTTGGGCTGTTTGTCGCTCACAGGGGAGGTATCAGAGCCGGGCTGTGTGGAAGGGAGGGCCGCCAGGTGGGGAGGGAGCGGCCCCGCAGGATTTGAGGTCTGGAGGAGGGAAGGCTAAGTTCAACCTGACAGCTGCCATTTTTTACTCCGAAGAGCCTAAACAGGAGGCCAGCTGGCTCCTGAAGTCCCAGCATTGGTCTCCTGTGGCTCCTGCTCGGCCACTGACACACCCCTGTCCCCCAGACTGTTCCAGACACAGCAGTCCGCTGAGCCTCTAAAACGTTCTGTGAGATGACATCACTCCCTGACTTCAAATCCTTCCTCTTGTGGCAAAGAGCGCCGTAAAAATCCTCACAGGGCCTCCCTGCCCTAGGTCGGGAAGCCCGTCCCCTCCAAACTCGGCTCCTGTTGTCTCCTTCCAGCCACGCGGGCTCTGAGCAGCTTTGCGAGCACCAGGCACACATGCCACAGGCCCTTTGCACTGGCTGTTACCGGCACTAGGCCAGAGTCTCTCAACTCGGGCCCTACTGACTCTTTGGGCCAGATGGCTCCTTGTTGTGGGGGCTGTCCTGTGCTTTGCAGGGGGTCAAGAGCCTCTCCGTACTGGACTCTCTTCCATCCTCAGCTGTGACCAGCAAAAGTCTCTTCAGACATTGGCAAAAACCACCCCTTTGGGGTAACAGGGCAGAATCACCACTGGCTGAGGACCACTGGCCCAGTGCAGGCTTTTCCCCCGGACACCACCTGGCTTCCTCCTCATTCAAGACTTTACCCAAATCAGGGACACCTGGCTGGGTCAGTGGGTAGAGCAGGCGACTTTTTTCCCCCAAGTAAGCTGCATGTCCAGTGTGGGGCTTGAACTCATGACTCTTGATATTGGGGTTGAGAGTTCAAGCCCCACGTTGGGTGTAGAGTTTACTTAGGAAAAAAAAACCACTTGGGGCACCTGAGGGGCTCAGTCAGTTAAGCGACCAGCTCTTGACTTGGCTTAAGTCATGATCTCACGACTGGTGGGATCGAGCCCCGCGTCGGCTCTGTGCTGTCAGCGTGGAGCCTGCTTGAGATTCTCTGTCTCTGTTTCTCTCTCTCCCCCTCCCCTGCTCGCACCCTCTCCCACTCTCTTCCTCAAAATACATAAATCAACAATAAAAAAGATGAAAAGGCAAGAAGAAAAAGCATTAAAAAATGGGCAAAAGAGATTAACAGACGTATCTCTCAAGAAGATGTAAAAACGGCCGATACACACAATTCCTCAAAATGTTAGCTACACACTTCCGGATACACCGGGGGTCCCACTCCCCTGTCTGTCCAGGGAAACTGGAAACGTGTTTACACACGAGTCTGCACGCGGAACATTCGAGGCAGCATTATTCCTAACAGGCAAAAAGCATGAACGACACAAACGTCCATCAGCGGATGTAACCCGCCGTGTCGCTCAGCGGAATATTATCTGAGCCCAAAAGGAATGGAGCCCTCGCGAAGGCGGCCGCAGGGATGAGCCTGGAGAACATTGTGCCGAGGGGACCCCAGACACAAGACGTCATATCACGATCCCGTTTACAAGATACTTCGGGAACAGGCAAATCTGAGAAGACAGGAAGTAGCGGTTGCCGAGGGCTGGGGGGAGGGGGGAGGGAACCCATCGCCAATGGAGTGTCTTTCTGGGATGGAAATGATGTTCTGAAATTGGCTAGCGGTGAAGGTCGCACAACCTCGTGAATATCCTGAAAGCCACCAAATTGTATGCTCCCAAAGGACGGATTTTATGGGACGCTAATCACATGATTATAGTGATTATATATGGTACATACACAGATGACAGTAAAGCTGTCACTCAAAGAGAGAGAGAGAGAGAGACTTCCGGGTTCCCGTCCGGCCCGTCGGGAGCTTGGGGGGCTGTCGCTCCAGCCTCACAAGTAGAAAGCTAAACAAAGCAAACATCAACAACTCTTAGATTCGTCAGGGAACTGAGGTCATGGGGCTGTCCCCTCTCTGCTCCCCCCGCCCCCAACAGGAGGCACAGACAGGAAGATACAAAGAACTGCAACTTGCATCCGACTTCGGCTCAGGTCATGATCTCAGGGTGTGTGAGTTCGAGCCCCGCGTCGGGCTCTGTGCTGACAGCTCGGAGCCTGGAGCTGCTTCCGAGTCTGTCTCTCCCTCTCTCTGCCCCTCCCCTGCTCACACTCCGTCTCTCTCTCTCTCTCTTAAAAATAAAGAAACGTTACAAAAACATTAAAAGAATTCCAACTTACCAGAGCAGAAACCTCCATCAGGTTGGGGGACGGCTGAGTGACGCTTGAGGAATTGCTGGGAGCTTGGTGTAGGCAAGCCTGAGAGTTAAAAACCCCAGGGAGAGGGGCGGCGGGCTGGCTCTGTCGAAGAGCACGCAGCTCTTGATCTCAGGGTTGCGAGTTCAAGCCCCTTCCAGGAACCCCACTAAGTTCTGACAGCGAAGATGGGAAGGAAATCCCCCTTGCTTCCCACGGGGGAGGGAAAAGTAGCCGTTTTGGAATTTATCCAGGGCATCCTGTCCTTCTCGATAAGGCCTGGCCTGCAGAGAAGCTATTTCACCAGAGCCTAAGCTACTGCGATCAGAACCTAACTCATCTGACAGCAGGAAATACCCGCGCCCAGCTCTGCCTAGTGGCTCTGGCCCTCCCCAGGGGAAGAAAGAACCGGAAGCTTGCTGCACCTGAAGCTAATGTGTGTAATACAGTGAGGTCAACTAGACTCCACCCACTCCAGGGTGGCTAGCCCATGCGATCGACTCTTGATCTCGGGGTTGTGAGTTCAAGCCCCCCGTCGGGCATCAAGCTGACTGAAAAATAAATAAGTACATTTAAAACAAACAAGGGCGTCTGAGCGGCTCAGTCGATTAAGCATCTGACTTCGGCTCAGGTCATGATCTCGCAGTTCGTGGGTTCGAGCCCCGCATCGGGCTCTGTGCTGACGGCTCAGAGCCTGGAGCCTGCTTCGGATTCTGTGTCTCCCTCTCTCTCTGCCTCTCCCCTGCTCATGCTCTGTCTCTTAAAAATAAACATTAGAAAAAAAATTTTTTTGAACAAACTCGGGGCGCCTGGCTGGCTCAGGTGGTACAGCCTCTTGAATCTGAGGTCTTAAGTTCAAGCCTCATGTTGAGTGTAGAGATTACTTAAACACATAAAAGTTAAAAAATAATAATAAAGCAAACGAAACTACAGTTAAGAAGAGTAACTGAGAAGCACCTGCGAGGTTTATAGCCCAGAGAACTCAGGCTCATTAACAGGGAGCTACCGTGTGCTTCTAGAACCCTCCCCCTCACCCACACCTGGCGGCCACATCACTAAAGGACTATTTATAGCTGTCTCTTTCACCCAGTGCCTCCTGTCTGGCTTGCGGACAAACATTTACAAGCCGTACTAAAAGTCAAAACACAGTATGAAGAGACAGAGCAAGCGTCAGAATAGACTCAGATACAGCGGACAGGAAAGCCTAAAACTGTGGCCGCCACTAGGAATGCTCTTTTTCTGCTTCCCGAAAGGATTCGTGTATGATGTTGCAATTTTGGAAATTTGAGCCACGGACGAGACAAGATCACATTTTTGGTGCCTTCCGTGGGAAGCCGGCAGAGGCCCGGCTGGCAGAGCACGTGGCTTCGTCCTGAAGTCACCCCTGTCCTTCTCAAGTTCCAAATGTCGTTTCCTGCGTTTCACAAATGGGATCTTTTTTAGGACTTGCGAGCAGAGGAGGCATTTGGACTTTGTGGGAGTCTTGCATTCTGTTGTCTTTGCCATGCAACTCACATGAAGGTCATGACGGAGTCTGAGCCGGCTTCTTTCTTAGAAATAAAGGTGACAGAGGTCACAATTGTCTCATTCCAGATCTTAAAAAGAATGTCTCTCCAGTCTTTTTCTTTTTTTCTTTTTTTAAAGATTTTCTTTTTAAGGGGCGCCTGGGCGGCTCAGTCGGTTCAGTGCCTGACCTTCGCTCAGGTCATGATCTTGCGGTTCTGGAGTTCGAGCCCCGTAGCCGGCTCTGTGCTGACAGCTCAGAGCCTGGAGCCTGATCCCATTCTGTCTCTCTCTCAAAAAATAAATAAACATAAAAGTAATTTTTAAGATTTTATTTCAAGTAATTTTTATGACCAGGGTGGGGCTTGAACTCGCCCCCGAGATCAAGGCCCACAGGCTCCACCGACGAAGCCCGCCAGGCGCCCACTACATTTTTAATGTATCCTTTTGATGCTTTGCTATTAGGGGGATGTTTCCAAATATTTTTGGTAGATTCTCTTTATCATGTTAAAGAAGTACACTTTTATTAGAGCTGATAAGACTCTTTTTACAGTTTTTTTAATTTTTAAACGTTTATTTATTTTTGAGAGAAAGACAGAGTGAGGGTGGGGAAGGGTCAGAGAGAGAGGGAGACACGGAATCCGAAACAGGCTCCAGGCTCCGAGCTGTCAGCACAGGGCCCGACGCGGGGCTCGAACCCAGGAAGCACGAGATCATGACCTGAGCCGAAGTCGGACGCTTAACTAACTGAGTCCTGCAGGCGCCCCTTTTTGGCACCATTTTTATAAAGCTAATAGTTAACTGAAATGAAGCAATATTTTAGCAGCACGCAGATAGACGATATAAGCAAGACAGTCAATCCAAGTGATGTGAGTGGGCAGAAGACAGGTTACCTACGTCATCCTTGTACACAATATTGATTTTGAAAACCAGCCGGGATGAGAGTATCTCTGTAGGAATCTGTGAGTCTGGAAGCGCAGTGAAGTCCCCGCACCCTGGAGGAAGAAACAATTCAAAAAGAGATCCACTGAAATGGATAAGATGATCAGTTTCACCTTTCCCCTCTCGCCTTCTGGAAGACAGCACAACTCAACGCCATGAGAGACCCCCCCCCCTGCCCCCAGCCCGCAATTTCTCCCCCTGGTTACGGTGAAAACATGGTGAGGGGTACCCAGTTCCCTCAGCTGTGCAGGACACTGCCCGAGGGACCGGCTTCTCGGCCACCCCTCCCACATCCCCTGAGGTGTCCGTAGGAGAGGCTGAGAGCACAGCCACCAGGGCTCAGAAGTCAGCAAAGGGCTGCAAACCGTAAAGTGTTCAAGGATCCATCAGGAAGCCTGTCCACAAGCCCCTTAGAACAGTATGTGAAGGGGCGCCCAGGTGGCTCAGTCAGTTAAGCATCTGACCTTGGGTCAGGTCATGATCTCAGGGTTCGTGAGTTCAAGCCCCGTGTCGGACTCTGTGCTGACAGCTCGGAGCCTGGAGCTGCTTCCGATTCTGTGTCTCCCTCTCCCTCTGCCCCTCCCCCACTCACGCTCTGTCTCTCTGCCTCTCAAAAGGGAATAAACATTAGCCTCAGCCCTTGCATCTTGACCCGGAGTTTACCTTCCGGGGCTGCACCCGGAGAGCTCCCTGACTGTCCTCAGGTGCCAGGAAAGAAAAAAGCAAAGAAGACGACAAGGGTTGATGTTCCCTGTTAACAGTTATTTATGACACAGTTTGCACACTTTGTCCTTGAGAGAATGGCTATGCCCTTGAAACTCCCCCAGACCCTGAGCCATGCCTTCAAAATAACAAATGTGGTCCTAGTACCAGGATAAGGGCTTCTGTCTGTATCGCTTTGTAGCCTTTTTTTTTTTTTTTTTTTTTTACAATAATCGCTCAAGTCAGCTTCCGGGCTGCCTGCTTGCCCGCTTGCTCAGTATAAACAGCCCCGGGTCCTTGGACATGGGGCCGCACACTGAGAGTTCCGTGTTGACTCTGTGCGGTCCCGGCCGGTAATAAAGGCTCCCTGGGGGCGCCTGGGTGGCTTAGTCGGTTAAGCGTCCGACTTTCGCTTGGGTCATGATCTCGCGGTTCGTGGGTTCGAGCCCCGCGTCGGGCTCTGTGCTGACTGCCAGCTCAGAGCCTGGAGCCTGTTTCAGTCTGTGACTCCCTCTCTCTCTGACCCTCCCCTGCTCATGCTGTCTCTATCTCTCTCCTAGAAATAAATAAAACATTAAAAAAAAAAAATTTAAAAAAAAAAAAAAAAAAAGGCTCCCTGGATTCGGCTTCAGAGGTCTCGGTTGGGATCTGTGTCTCTCGGCAGGGCATCTACACCCAACATGGGGCTCAAACTCATGACCTCCGAGATCACAAGTCCCATGCTCTTCGAATGAGCCAGCCAGGTGCCCCCATACTGTATACCTTAAATATATCATACAATTTAATCTGTCAATCATACTTTAATAAAGGTGGGGAAGCAAGAAAGGAGAAATGCAAGATTCAGGGCAGTGATCACTGTATATTGCGGCTATCGGGGGAGATGGACGGGTGAGAAGCACAGAGGTAGACATGAATTATAATCCCCGTCTTTTACTTATTTTTAATTTTTAATGTGTTTTTGTTTTTGTTTTTGAGAGAGAGTGCGAGTGGCCGAGGGACAGAGAGAGGGAGACACAGAATCGGAAGCAGGCTCCAGGCTCAGAGCCTGACACGGGGCTCGAACTCTCAGATGGTGAGACCATGACCTGAGTCAAAGTCAGACGCTTCACCAACTGAGCCACTCAGGTGCCTCTAACATATATATCTTAAAGTGTTTATTATTTATTTTGAGAGAGAGAGGGAGCAAGCAAGGGAGGACCAGAGAGAGAGGGAGAGAGAGTCCCAGACAGGTTCTGCACTGTCAGCAGGGAGCCCGATGCGGGGCTTGGTCTCAAGACTGACAGTGAGATCATGACCTGAGATGAAATCAAGATTCAGTCGCCTAACCGACTGAGGCACCCAGGTGCCCCAATGGATGTTTTTAAAATAAAAATTTTAGGGGTGTCTGGGTGGCTCAGTCGGTTGGGCGTCCAACTTCAGCTCAGTTCGTGATCTCCCGGTTTGTGGGTTCGAGCCCCGCATTGGCTCTGTGCTGAAAGCTCGGAGCCTGGAGCTGCTTCCGATTCTGTGTCTCCCTCTCTCTCTGCTCCTCCCCAGCTCGTGCTCTGTGCTGTTTCTCTCTCTGTCTCAAAAATAAACATTACAAAAATTTTTTAAATGGTATCAAAAAATAAGAAAATAAAAACGATGTTATCTTCTGAGATTTTTTCTGTTTAATATTACATGGCTAAGATTCAACCATGCTGTTGTAGTAGGAATGACTATAATATTCCATTTTGCGAACACGCCACAATGTATATATTCATTCTCCTGCCTGTAGACATTTGAGTTGTTTCCATGTATTTGCCATTGTAAATGCTGCTTCCACGAACCTGTTTACACATGCTTCCTGGTGCCCAGATGAAAGTTTCTCTGAGCACAGAGCCAGGATTGGAATGCTCGGTCCGAGGGTGGGGGACGTCCAAGTTAGCGCAGTGACATCAAGCTCTTTTCCAAGCAAATTTTCACTTGTGTAGGATTCTCCCC